TGAGGGCAGGGATTATTTTTGTCTTTTTATCACCAGCTCCTAATGTGATGCCTTGCATATAATAGGCATTTAGTAATTCTTTGTTAGAGCAACTAGGTGGCACAGTGGATAGAGTGCTTGGTCTGGAGTCAAGAAGACACATCTTCCCGAGTTCAAATCTAACCTCAGACACTTACTAGCTGTGTGAGCCTGGGCAAGTCACTTGACCCTGTTTGCCTCAGTTTCCTCATCTGTAAAATGAGCTGGAGGAGGAAATGACAAACAACTCCAGTATCTTTGCCAAGAAAACCCCAAATGAGGTCACCAAGAGTTGGAGATGACTGAACAACAATAATAACTGAGTCAAATTCTTGAATTCATGGGGTTAATAGAGAATTTTTATCATCTTGGTGGGTGTAGTCACACATGAGGGTCTACAATGGCTCCAGGTTGTGATTGGATCATAGGAACATAAATGGAAAGCTGGAAGGGATATCAGAGGCCATCTAATCCAAACCTCTCATTTTACAGATGAAGAAGCTAAGGCCCATCAATGTTAAGTGACATGTTCAAGGTCACGCAGGGAGTCAATGTCAAAAGGGCTATTTTAATCCAGGTCTTCTAGACTACATACTACTACTATACCATACTGAAGCTGAGTCTACTTAAAGACACAACTAAATCACAAAGTTGTGATTATTTTGAAACAGTGTAGACCCAGTTTAAGAGACTTGCTCTTTAAACATCTTGCTGTAAATGCTAAAAAAAAAAAAAACCAAAAACACATGAAGGACTTCCCTTTGGGCAATGCAACAGATCAGAGAGAGCTAAAGAGCTGTAGAACAGAGCAGCAAGGAGGCTAATGTCAGCCTATCAAGAGAGAGGCAGAGAGACAGAGGAAGAGACAGAGAGAGAAGAAAAGAAGAGAGTCAGACAGAGACAGAGAGAGAAAGAAGGAGAGAGAATGAGAAAGGAGACAGAAAGAGAGAGACAGAGGAAGAGAGAGAGAAACAGAGAGAGAGAAGGAAGAAAGAGACATTTAATTTACTTCAAGGCAATGCTTAGCTTTGATGGGAACTCTGGGCCCCTGAGCTACTGGGAAGGAATGTGCTTTGTCAATGTTCCCATTGCTGAGTCTCCTTCAAGAAACCTTGCTCCTGGAGGAAGGAAGATCTCATGGAGCCTGGCAATGCCTACATACTGTATGTGGCAGGAGAAGGTCACATTGTTCATGCTATCCTGATATAGATGCCCAGACAACATCTGAATTTAAGCCTCACTGTTAACTGTTTAGATATGTTGCTTATAGCAAAGCAATCCAAGTTTTGACCTAAGGACATGAACTCTCAAGAACTTTTCTTATATAATTATTTTTTAAACAATTTCTCAGAATTTTTTTATCATTAATTGCTTAAATGAGAATGGGTGCTACTAATGACAAATTCATTTTGTTTATTCATTATAACACCACAGCTCAAAGTCTATTTACATAAGACTCTCCTCTTTGGAGGAGACTGATTAATCAATGCTCCTTGCCTATGGGAGGGGTGGATTTGTCAAGAGCTAGAGAGAGAAGAGAGATCAAGTTCTTTGGATTTCCAAATTCAAGAAAGGGCATATATGGTTCCAGATTCTCTTCAGGTGCCTGAAGGGAGAGAAAGACTCTGAGGAGAAGCAGACATGTCAAGGCACTATGGCTTATATCATTAAAATAGGACTCTATATAATCATATACTTTTTAAAAAATCATTGGAGGTAATAGAGAGTAATGAAATTATTTCTTTCAAATATTACCTAAAATTAGATTTTTCACTGATATAGACTAAACCTACTTCTAACTAGTCTGAATTATTAAGATTCTACATATATGTATATATATAAATCTAAGATATCATCATCATTATTCTCTATTGTAATTATTTTCTCATAGTCAGAACTACAGCTGCTAATGTATAATAATCACTTCAGCAGAAATGTTTTGCCAGGACTTCAAAGGTAATTCATTATTCATGTCCTGGTCTCCAGGGTAACACTGGCAAGTAGTTAAGAGGTCCAAAATAATTCTGTGTTAACATTTCAGTTATTTTTGTTTTATGGATAAGCCATAACCCAAGAATTAAGAGTCTATATTTCTAAAAAAAAAAAAAACCTGGGAGGTCAAATGACAAATTATAGAAACAAGAGAAAGTTTCATTTTTTTAAAATGACAATAATGAGACAGCCTACCAAAACAGGTAAAGCAGTTCTTAGTAGAATTTTTATATCTCTAAACACTTTCATCAACATCAGATAGAAAAAGTAAATCAATGAATTGGGCATTGCAAAGACAAAAAAAAAAAACCAAACCCTTGAACAAGAACAAAACAAAACCCCCCAACTAAGGAATAAAATAGGAATTCTGAAAATTAAAGTGATTTTAAAAATTGAACTGATAAAACTAGAAGTTGTTTTTTGAAAAACACTAATAAAATAAATAAATAATGTGATTTTTAAAAAAACTAGATCATTTGTATCAAAAATGAAAAAAGAGAATTCACAACAATTGAAGAGGAAATAAAGGAAATTAGCAGAAACTATATTCCCCAATAATTTGCTAACAAGACTGATAACTTAGAGAAAATGGCTGAACATTTACAAAAAAATATAAAAAGCCCAGATTAGTAAAAAAAAGAAATAGACTATTTAAGTGAACCAACATTAGAATACAAAACGAGCAAATCATAAATAAACTCCTAAAGGGGGAAAAACTCTAAAGATTAAAAAAAAAAATGATCAATTCTAGTATTACACAAATTCCTTGCAATTATGGGAAAAGAAGGCACACTTCTAATCTCTTTTTTTATACCAATATTGATGCAAAATATTTAAATAAAATATTAGCAAATAGGCTATGACAACATATTAGAAAGATTATATACTATGATTATGTTGGATTTATACCAGGAATACAAGGTTGTTTCAACATAAGGATAAGCAACGTAAATAATAAATATATTATTATACAAATAGATATTGAAAAGGCTCTTGCCAAAATCCAACATCTGTTTCTGTTCAAAATCCTATAAAGAAGAGAAAATAAATGGATCTTTCTTAATAAGTATCTTTATATAATTAATGCAATCAATCTAACACCAAGAACAAACATTATAGGTCATGGGGAAAAAGTTAGAGACTTTTCCAATAAAAGAAGAAGTGATTGCCTGTGATCACCTCTACTATGTAACATAATCCTAGAAATGCTTGCTATAGTAATGACATAAAGATAAATTGGGGGAATAACACAAGCAAAGAAAAAACAAAAGTATTACTTTTGAAGATGATTTACTTAGAAAACTTTAAAAAAATCAACCAGAAATTAATTGAAACAATAAATTCAGTAAAGTTGCAGGATATAAAATAAATCCACAGAAATTGTGAACACTCCTATATATTATCAACACAATCCAGCAGGAAGACATAAAAAGAGACAACCCATTCAAACTAACTACTGAAGCTACAAAATATTTAAGAGTCTTTCTACCAAGATACACCCAGGAACTATATGAATCTAACTATAAAGCACTCTGCAGAAATAAAGTCAAACTTAAATAATTGGAGCAATATTAATTCTCATAGGTAGATAAAGTCAACATACTAAAAATGAAGATACTAATTAAATTAATATACTTATTCAGTATTACATCAATCAAACTACCAGCAACTTGTTTCATAAAGCAAGAAAAAATTATAATGAAATTCATATAGTGGAACAAAATGTAAAGTACTCAAGAGTAAAATAAAAAAAAAAGAAGAAAAAACAAAGATGTCTATCAGTACCAGATCTCAAATTTTACTATAAAACAATAATCATTGAAATTATTTGGTCAACTGGTTAAAAAAATAGAGAGCAATCATTGGAACACATTAGCAACATAATATCAGGAGGCAAAGAACATAATAGCATGGTGTTTGATAAACCCAAAGACTATAGATACTGGAGTAAGAACTCATTATTTGACATAAGTTGATGGGAAATTTGAAAAGTACTTTGGTAGAAAGTAGGTATAAACCAATACCCCACAATATTTACCAGGATAAATTCCAAATGAATATGTGACTTATACATAAGAGGTAATATTATATGCAAATTAGAGGAGTAAGGAAGAAATTACCTTTCACATCTATGGAGAGGGAAAGAATTCATGACTGAACAAATAATAGAGAGTATTACAAAAGATAAAATGGACAATGTTGATTATATAACATTTAAAAGGATCTTTTGCAAATCTAATGCAGTTAAAATTAGAAGGGATATAAGTAACTGGGGGAAAAATTTTTGCAGCAAGTTTTTGTGATAAAGATCTCATAAAGATCTCATATCCAAAATAGTTGAGGAATTGATTCTAATTTACAAGAATAACAGCCATTTGGGGCAGCTAGGTAGTGCAGTGGATAGAGCACTGACCCTAGAGTCAGGAGTACCAGAGTCCAAATCTGACCTCAGACACTTGACATTTACTAGCTGTGTGACCTTGGGCGAGTCACTTAACCCCATTGCCTAAAAAAAAAAAATAAAAAACTAACTGCCATTCCCCCAATAAATAATGGTCAAAAGATATGAATAGGCAGTTTTCAAAGGAAGAAATCCAAGCTATCAACAAGTACATGAAAAAATTCTCCAAATCACTAATAACTAAAGAAATACAAATTAAAGCAACTGTGAATTTCCATCTCATATTCATCGCACTGGCTAAAATGGCAAAGATTAAAATAACAAATGTTGTAGTGCTTTGGGAAACAGGTATACTTAGGAACTTTTGGTGAAATTGTAAATTGGTCCAACTATTCTGGACTTATATTGGCTTTCACTGAAATACAGAGTGAACAAAGCTATATTCCCTTTATTTGTGGATGAGCCAGGACATGACTTCATTTTCCTCATTTTCTCCAACTTTAACTTCAACTTCAGTTAAAGTTATCTCGCTAATTCTAAAGGAATTTTCTAGGAGCTGTGGAATTTCCCTCCTAAGACCACTGGACAATTGTGTGCCCAGGCAAGAGCCATCTATGGACACCCAGCAAAGTGTCAAGCTGGCATGAACTTGTACTATACAGCTGCTATGCCCCTGACTGATATGAGAAGAACACAACCAAAGAGTTGTCTCTCTAACCAGTGCCAGGGGTAGTTTTCTTGTTTCCAGATAACTAGAATACTAAGGAAAGAAAACGCAATTGTCTAATTGTCCAACATAATACTATTTACATTTTATTAATTGAATTGGATTAGTTGTAGTGGAAAGAGCACTGGATTGAGAATCAGGGGACTTCGGTTTTTAAGCCCAGCTCTGCCAGAGTTGGAATCAAAAGCTAGAACTTGGAGATCATCTCTTACAACCCCCTCATTTTCTAGGTAAGGAAGCTAAGCCTTAGAAAAGTGAAATCATTTTCTCAAGGTTTTATGGGCAGAGTTGTGATTTGAACCAGATTTTTTCACTCTAGTTCTCTCAGCATCATTGCCTATATGAAAGAAAGGTCTTACAGAACTCTTAAATCCTTTGCAGCCATGACCAGGTCAGGAACCATACGTCAAATAGCAAAATAATTAATTGAGATAGAATAGCAAAGTAAATAACAAGGGGAAAAAACCAACAGTAGAATCATTCTCAATCTCTAAACCCCTCAAATGGGTGCATTCTCCTAGACTCCCATGCTGGCAGGGAAGGGAACAATTCCCAGGGAAACTAATGCCCAAAATGAGGAAATGTTATATAGTGATTAGAACATTTGTGGCTCTGTCTCTCAGCATCTAGCTATACCTAGCTGCTTCTTAGCCTCACCTCTTTCTTGTAGCTTTCTTGGTGTGGTTCCAGAGCTCTCTAAGCCACTATCACCATACCCAGTCTCCAAAACACGATATGCAGAAGCTCCACCCTTTGTCACTGATCCTTCCCTCCAAAGTTACTGTTCTCTGATCCTCCACTGAGCTACTGCTATCACCTGTTCAAGTTATCATCTCCTTTCACCAGCAGCTACTGCTTCCTGAGGGAGTGGTATTGCCTAAATCTTGCATTTTTTTTGTTAGACAGTCCTACATCACATCCAGTTGGTACACAAAGAGTTACTCAAGAAATGATCAACATCTAGCTTACCTGACTCTCTCTCTCTCTCTCTCTCTCTCTCTCACACACACACACACACACACACACACACACACACAAACACACACACCTATAGAAATATCTACAGTTTTTCTGTCCAATTGGGTCAAGGTAAGGAAATTGCCTTCACTTCTCATCTACTATATAGCATAGATTATATTACTACCCTTCTCGTGTGTAATGCTCATTTTCCATTGTGTCCTTCTTTAGTAAGGAAATGGAGCAAAGTGCCTTTCAAACTATGTCCTCATCAGACTTAGAGTGGCCATTTTGCAATTTGTAAGGGTATCAGATTTTGAGTGACTGTATTGGTATGTGAAAGGGTCAGGATACTGAGAATGGACAGAGACAATGGACTTGACTTCTGGTTGTGGATTCTTTTGGGGGACTTTTTTTCTGTAGACTTGTTTATTTGAGTGAACAGGAGAGCTTAAGTTTAAAAATGGCAGAACCAACAAAAAAGTTATTAGGAAAAGTTGTTATCAAGAGTTAAGAAAGCAGTCAGCTCTGAAGAATCAGCTCTAGAGAAAGGACTAAGATCTTGAGGTAATTATGAGCTCTTGAGAATTCACCTCGGTCCTTCTTTTCAAATGACTGAGGGAATTTAAATTCCCCAGAACAAATGAACTCAGAATCTTGCCTGATAGCAAAGAAAGGGAATTTCTAGGACAGCAGAAACTTTGAGAGTTCCCTCTTAGGTAACCCTAAGTTCAAGAGTTCCTGAATTTGAAAATATCCAGGCACTGGATCTTCTGAACAGAGAAGATTCCCTGATTCTTTCCATTCTTTAGAACAAAGAAGAATACATTTTAAATGGTTATTGCACAGCGTCCTATCTAGAAAGCAAAGTCACTGAGTAGCTCAGCTGTGCCCAAAATGGAAGCAGTGGAGACTAACAGCCAATCAGTATCCAGTGGCAACCACTGGGTCAGTATCTGGCTGAAACTGTGAAATCAAGACTAGCAGGAACAATGAAAGAGCATCAGTGGCCCTATAACATTGCATCATTGTAAACATGAGCTACCTCTCCTCACGTGTACCTTCGCACATATTTTCTCCAGGTATATGCTTCCCCACACGTATACCTTGACTAAATGTGTTCCATCCATGTGAGTCTCTCTACTTGAGATATTTATATGTGTCCACTCTCATCACTGATATCACGGATGTTGGGTGTATCTCTGGGAGAATAAGTCCAAATTTATTGGAGTGATGTTTTATTGCTACTTTTCTTAATATGCCATTTCAGTAAATACCATTGCTTTGAGCTAATTGTGTCTTCTGGCTGACTATTGAAAGATAAACACACTAGTCAGGGCTCTTGACCTAAAGTTTTAAGGATATAGACAACAGAGTACAAATCTTGAACATGAGGCAGTCATCGTCTGAGTGGTCCTGTCCTAGGGTGAAGGAGGGGCAAGTACACTACCCTTAGGTTTGGGATAAATGCACATATAGTTTTTCATCATCTCTTTCAACTTCCATCACATCCTCTATCCACCCAGCAGTGAGACATCCAGACCATGTAAATCTCCCTGAAGCTTCAGTACAGAGTAACATTAATAAGGAAGGGGCAGCGGGGCTGCTAGGTGGCAAAGTGGATAAAGCTCTGGCCTTGGAGTCAGGAGGACCTGAGTTCAAATCCGGCCTCAGACTCTTCTAGCTGTGTGACCTTGGGCAAGTCATTCAACCCCAATTGCCTCATCAAAAATCAAAAACAAAAAAAAAATAAGGGAGGGGCAGAGACAGCAACCTTTAACCTGAACTCCAGTTGCCATTGCAAGGAAAAAAAAAAGTTCCTTCCTTCTTACATGTAAAATGAGGAAGACTAGACGAGATATTTGCTAAAGTCACTTAATACTTTTAATATTCTATGATAGTATGATGAATTTCATGGGACACTGAATTCAAATGTTAGGACCAAATCCATCTTGATCAGGACGTTTAGAAAATGTTTGCAGGATCAATTGATTCAGTTTATGTATTATTGGGTCCATTACTTATTATTTCTCTCACTCTTCAACTTTTTGCCTTTTTACTTCTCCATTGCATGGGGAAGGGGTGAGGATAGAGAAAGGAAGTGGAAACTCAGATCAATTTTGCAAGAGTCCTTGCCATTTACCCAGGAGTTCCTTCTCATATTTACTGGAGAAAAGTCACAGCTAGAGCAACAATACTTCCTTTGTACAAGAAGTAAATGGTCTTTAGCAAATCCCATGCTTTTTCTTTTAATTCTTGACCCACAACACAATTGTCCCTCAGTTACATCAGGCAGTTTTGATTGTTGACTGTATCTGTCCCTGGCATTGCATCTGATGAAGGCTCATTTGACCAGGCTTATTTCCCCACCAGGAAGACGGGGATACAATAGACAGAACCATTTAGAATGAATGATGACTATATGGGTATAGTCCCAAATCTGTGTATATCCTCATATGACCTACTCAAAATTGGTATATTCATAATGGTCCAGGGGCTGTTTACAGGTGCTTGGTGCATATATAAAAGGCTATAGTTCCATTTTGAATATTTTTGCATGAAACCACACAGATCTTAAGTAACCCTCTGGGTTACTCCAAATTATTGATTGAGACAATTACCTGGGTTGAGGTTATGTGTCATATGTGTAGCTATTTCCTTAACACTAATAGGGAAATTTGGAAGGATGAAAGATAATGAGTTCAGTTTTGGACATATTGAGTTTAAGATGCCTATAGGACATCCAGATTAAATGAAGATGTCTTCATTTCCTAGAGGCAGACTAAGACTGGTATTCAATAGCGTATGTCTACTGGTATCCTTTGAATAAGTATTATACTAGCAATAAACTATTGAACACAAGACTGTTTTAACCTCCACCATAGCAATAGAATGTGTTGCCTGGACATTCAAGTAATCTTTAGAGCCTCCAAAATACATCTATGCACTAGAATTGTGCTGGCCCAAGTCACATTGACCAGTGTCATCTCTTAACTCTTATGTCAAATACAGCATATTTAGAAACCTTAAGGCATTATATCAGCACAAATTATTATTGGTAAGCATCTCAAATTTGATAGAACACCAACTCACCTTCCCAGGCTTATCTCACATTACTCCATTTGAGTACTCTGTGCTCCAGGCATGTGCTCCTGGGGCTGCTAGGTGGCTCAGCGCATAGAGTTCTGGGCCTGGAGTCAGGAAGACCCAAGTTCAAATCCAGCCTCAGACACTCACTAGCTGTCTGATCCTGGGCAAGTCACTTATCCCTGTTCACCTCAGTTTCTTCTGTAAAAAGAGCTAGAGAAGGAAATGGCAATCCACTCTAGTATCTTTGCCTTGAAAACCCCAAATGGGTCACAAAGAGTTAGATATGACTGAACAACAACAAATGCTCCAGACAAATTAGATTGTTCTCTTTCCCTTGAAAACTCCTTGTTCTTCCCCCTCCTCCAAGTCTTTGCTTATGCAATTCCCTATGCATGGAAATATCTTCCTTCCCCTTCATCACTTGTTGAATTTCCTACTTTGATATGGGATCTTTGGTTTTATCAATGCGAGTCCTCTCTGAACCAGTCCAGATTAAAAGCCACTTTCCAATTCTTTGTGATTCTTGGCCATATCTTTCCATATATTCTCTATAGAAGATCCGTTCAAGGTGCTAGAAGGCCTTACTTGAGGTCTTTTCATATTTCATAGTGTGCACATGGGTGCTTTCATCTGCGCTACATGACCAACCCACTTCTCTTTCTGAGCCTACATTTCCTGAATGACATCTCTTTCTCTACTTCTTACACACAAGTCATCACTGGATATAGATAGATAGATAGATAGATAGATAGATAGATAGATAGATAGATA